GTGAGAGGGACAGGTGAGAGGGACAGGTGAGTGGACAGGTGAGTGGACAGGTGAGAGGACAGGTGAGTGGACAGGTGAGTGGACAGGTGAGTGTACAGGTGAGTGTACAGGTGAGAGGACAGGTGAGAGGACAGGTGAGAGGACAGTTTAGTGTACAGGTTAGTGTACAGGTGAGTGTACAGGTGAGAGGACAGGTGAGTGGACAGGTGAGAGTACAGGTGAGAGTACAGGTGAGTAGACAGGTGAGTGTACAGGTGAGAGGGACAGGTGAGAGGGACAGGTGAGTGGACAGGTGAGTGGACAGGTGAGAGGACAGGTGAGTGGACAGGTGAGTGTACAGGTGAGAGGACAGGTGAGAGGACAAGTGAGTAGACAGGTGAGTGTACAGGTGAGAGGGACAGGTGAGAGGACAGGTGAGAGGACAGGTGAGAGGACAGGTGAGAGAGGGACAGGTGAGAGGACAGGTGAGAGGACAGGTGAGGGGACAGGTGAGAGGGACAGGTGAGTAGACAGGTGAGTGGACAGGTGAGAGGTACAGGTGAGTGGACAGGTGAGAGGTACAGGTGAGAAGACAGGTGAGTGGACAGGTGAGTGGACAGGTGAGTGGACAGGTGAGAGGACAGGTGAGAGGGACAGCTGAGACAGACAGCTGAGACAGACAGGTGAGAGGACAGGTGAGAGGGACAGCTGAGACAGACAGCTGAGACAGACAGGTGAGAGGACAGGTGAGAGGGACAGGTGAGAAGACAGGTGAGAAGACAGGTGAGAGGACAGGTGAGAGGACAGGTGAGAGGACAGGTGAGTAGACAGGTGAGAGGACAGGTGAGTAGACAGGTGAGAGGACAGGTGAGTAGACAGGTGAGAGGACAGGTGAGTGGACAGGTGAGAGGGACAGGTGAGAGGGACTAGTGAGTAGACAGATGAGAGGACAGGTGAGAGGACAGGTGAGAGGGACAGGTGAGTGTACAGGTGAGAGGACAGGTGAGTAGAGAGGTGAGGGACAGGTGAGTAGACAGGTGAGTGGACAGGTGAGTGGACAGGTGAGTGGACAGGTGAGAGGGACAGGTGAGAAGACAGGTGAGTAGACAGGTGAGTTGACAGGTGAGTAGACAGGTGAGAGGGACAGGTGAGAGGGACAGGTGAGAAGACAGGTGAGTGGACAGGTGAGTAGACAGGTGAGTGGACAGGTGAGTGGACAGGTGAGAGGACAGGTGAGAAGACAGGTGAGAAGACAGGTGAGTTGACAGGTGAGTTGACAGGTGAGTAGACAGGTGAGAGGACAGGTGAGAGGACAGGTGGATAGACAGGTGAGAGGGACAGGTGAGAAGGACAGGTGAGAGGACAGGTGAGAGGACAGGTGAGTAGATAGATGAGAGGACAGATGAGAGGACAGGTGAGTAGATAGATGAGAGGACAGGTGAGAGGACAGGTGAGTAGATAGATGAGAGGACAGGTGAGNAGATAGATGAGAGGACAGGTGAGAGGACAGGTGAGTAGATAGATGAGAGGACAGGTGAGTAGATAGATGAGAGGACAGGTGAGAGGACAGGTGAGAGGACAGGTGAGTAGACAGATGAGAGGACAGGTGAGTAGACAGATTAAAAGGTATGATGCGGTATGAGGGTCAAAATTAAGACTATAGCTCAACCAGTGGTTGCTCCATCTTTGTAGCAGGAGGTTATATCTGATCCTAACCAGATATTCATCTGATTAATGATTAATGATAGGCTGACACTAACTGAGCCGCTAGAGCAAATGAGAAGAAGACTATTTAATTGTGTTAGCATCAGAGAGGCTAGTGACGTTCAGTTAGTGGTACCAGCTTCTCAGTTAGTGGTACCAGCTGCTCGGTTAATGGTACCAGCCTATCATTAATCAGATCAACATGCTTTTCTGTCTCAGCTGGAGGACTCCAGGGTCCTTGGGGCATGCTCCTGTAACCTTGGAGCAGCCTACGTGGAAGCGGGGCAACCTCAGAAAGGACTGGACTATCTTCAGCAGGCTCAGCCCGGTCCAAAGGTGGATCAGCTCCCAGACCTTCAGTTCAACCTGGCGTTGGCCCACAATGCACTTGGACAAAGTCCAGAAGCTGCTGCCTGCTTCCTGAAGGCCGCTCAGCTCTACAGATCTCGGGGGGATGGGAGGAGCGAGGGAGACGCTTGCATGGAGATGGCCTGGTGCTACAGCAGAACACGGGTCAGAACCAGAACCTGATTCAAAATCTGAGGTGTGACAGGTGTTTTAGCTTGTACAGGTGTGACAGGCTTACCTGAGCTGTGGACATAAGGTTGTCGGTGCCTGTTGTGGCAGCAACCCTTGAACCCACTGGTGGTCACCGGTGGTGAGGGATGCTGTCAGGCTGAAGAAGGAGTCCTATCAGGTCTTTTTGGTCTGTGGGACTCTGGAAGCAGCCGATAGGTATCGGCAGTCCAAGAGGATTGCGGCTCAGGTGGTCGCTGAGGCAAAAACTCTGGTGTGGGAGGAGTTCAGAGAGGCCATGGAAAAAGACTTCTGTATAGCTTTGAGGTGATTCTGGTCCACCATCTGGTGTCTCAGTGGGGGAAAGTGGTTCACCACCAACACTATTTATGGTGGGGATGGTGCACTACTGACCTCAACTCAGGACATTGTGAGTCGGTGGGCAGAATACTTCAAAGACCTCCTCAATCTCACCAGCATGTCTTCCCATGAGGAGGAAGCAGAGCCTGAGGACCCTGAGTCGGACTCTCCAATCTCTGGTGCCGAGGTCACTGAGGTGGTTAAAAAGCTCCTCAGTGACAGGGCGCCAGGGGTAGATGAGATTTACCCGGAGTTCCTTAAGGCTCTGGATGTTGTGGGGTTGTGTTGGTTGACGCGACTGTACAACATCACATGGACATCGGGGGCAGTTCCCCTGGATTGGCAGACTGGGATGGTGGTCCCATTTAAAAAGGGGGACCGCAGAGTGTGTTCCAACTATAGGGGGATCACACTTATGAGTCTCCCTGGTAAGGTCAATTCAGGGGTCCTGGAGAGGAGGGTCCGTTGGATAGTCGAATCTCGGATTCAGGAAGAGCAGTGTGGATTTGGTCCTGGTCCTGGAACACTGGACCAGCTCTACACCCTCAGCAGGGTCCTGGAGGGTGCATGAGAGTTCAAACAGTCTACATGTGTTTTGTGGACTTGGAGGAGGCCTTTGACCGTGTCCCTCGGGGACTCCTGTGGGGGGTACTCTGGGAGTACGGGGTACCAATCCCATTGATACAGGCTGTTAGATCCCTGTAGGACCGGTGCCAGAGCTTGGTCCACATTGCTGGTAGTAAGTCGGACTCATTTCTGGTGAGAGTTGGACTCCACCAAGGTTGTCCTTTGTCATTGATTCTGTTCATAACTTTTCTGGACAGAATTTCTAGGAGCAGCCAAGGTGTTGAGGAGATCCTTTTTGGTGACCTTAGGATCACATCTCTGCTTTTTGTGGATGATGTGGTCCTGTTGGCTTCATCAGATCCTGATCTCCAGCTCTCACTGGAGCGGTTCACAGATGGGATGAGGATCAGTGCCTCCAAATCCCAGACCATGGTCTTGAGCCAGAAAAGGGTAGGGTGCCTTCTCCAGGTCGGGGAGGAGGTCCTGCCCCAAGTGGAGGAGTTTAAGTATCTCAGGGTCTTGTTCATGAATGAGGGAAGAATGGAGCAGGAGATCAACAGGTGGATTGGTGCTGTGTCTGCAGTGATGTGGATGTTGTACCGGTCTGTTGTGGTGAAGAGAGAGCTGAGCCTGAAGGTGAAGCTCTCAGTTTACTAGTGGGTCTACGTTCCTACCCTCATCTATGGTCAGGAGCTTTGGGTAGTGACTGAAAGAAGGAGATCACAGATACAAGCAGCTGAAATGAGTTTCCTCTGCAGGGTGTCTGGGCTCTCCCTTAGAGATAGGCTGAGAAGCTCAGTCATCCAGGAGGGACTCAGAGTAGAGCCGCTGCTCCTCCACGTCCAGAGGAGCCAGTTGAGGTGGTTCATCTGGTTAGGATGCCTCCTGGACTCCTCCCTGGTGAGGTGTTCTGGACACGTCCCACTGGGAGGAGACCCAGAGGAAGACCCTGGAGGGACTATGTTTCTCAGCTGGTCTGGGAACACCTTGGGATTCCCCCAGAGGAGCTGGTCCAAGTGGCTGGAGAGAGGGAGGTCTGGGTCTCTGCTGAGGCTGCTGCCCCCGAGACCTGACCCTGGATAAGAGGAGGGAAACAGATGGAGGGGGGAGGTGTGACAGGTGCTCTGTGTAATACAGGTTTTGTGTTTTGCAGGACCGGTTTTTGGCGGTTCAGGGTTTCCTGCGAGCTGCAGAAAGTTACAGAGTTGCCACAGTTTTAGATTCTGCAGCCATCGCCCTGAAAGAAGCTGGAGATCATATGATCCAATCAGATCAGCTCAGTCAGGATGACATCACAGATGTTTTGTCAAAGTGTCTGAGTTTGACGGACAGCATCACTGACCCAAGCATTCTGGGTAATCACCCTCCATAGCAGATGAATTAATGATTGAACATATTTATTGATACCTCCCCTCATGTTGTCCAGGTGAGCTCTACCTGTCTGTTGGTGTTTCTTACTGCCAGCTCAGGTATTTTCAAGAGGCGGTGCTATGTTTTGAGCGGGCTTTGGACGTCACGTCTCAGAACCCCCCCCTGCAGGCCAAAGTTCTGCACAACCTAGGAGCTGCCCTGAACTCGTTGGGTCAGTTCAGCCCTGCTGTGGACTACCACAGGCTCGCTGCCACACTGTACGGTGAGTCCACACACCTGGACGTCACCTGGGAACACACTCTTTGATTTTAAAATTCAAAGTTTATTTATTCCGTCAACAGGGACAATGTGCAAATTAAAACATTAATATAAAATGCTTTGCATCAGAAGCTGAAGCTAGTTTCTATCTGTGGTCCCTGAGCAGCATTATTAATACTTAATAAATCTAAAATCAAACAACATACAGTAATATTCCATATATGTCATAAATACAATCTCTATACAAAGTCACAAAACTAAAACAAAAACACTAAATCCTAAACCTTTGTTCTGCAATCACTAATGCCAGGGTTGCAGTTTTTCAGTGCTGACTGCTGGTTTTCTAATAACACACTTTAGTTTTCTGAGTGATTATTAAAAAAGTAAACTAATGAGTGAGACTGATGAAGATGGAGGAAGATGATGAGTGTTGATGGTCAAACATACATGTTTCAGGTAACCACCTATCTAGTTGGAAACAGTTTAAAGAAAAAATTCAGGACGAACAAACTGAAACCAGTACAAAGAGATGAGCAGGTGATGGTTTTGTTACAAACAAGTGTATGCACCTGCAGGCTCTCTGGGTTGCAGTGGTGACCAGGCTCGGTGTTTCAGTAACTTGGCATTTGCCTGCATTCAGCTGGGTGATGAAGAGGAGGCAGAAAAGAGCTTCATCCTTGCTCTGCAGGGATTCCAGGACACAGGTATGTTTGATACCTGATCTGGTCTGTTTGTCACCTGTGTGTGTGTGTGTGAGTGTACATGTTTTTGCTACCTGGTGGGGATGTTTTTTGGCCATTTTCCTGGGACACACAGCCTGGTGGACCCACTTTTTGTAATGGGGACAAAAGCCTGGTCTTTGTATGTGTGCTAGACCTGTAAGAACAGTTCAATACTAAACAGGTTATTTATTCTGAGCAGCCAACAGCTTCTATGTGTTCTTTATCCAGAAAGAGCCCAAAAAGTTCTGCTTTTCTTACTTGTTCAATAATATTCTCTTCTTTAATGAAACCTCCTCCAAGAGACTTCTTCAGTCTGAGGAGTTTTAGGTGAACTCAGACTTATAAGCAGTGTTTCCACATAGTGGACAAAGGTTTATGATGACAATCAACACAGTTTGTTCACATGCAAATGGGGACCATCAGCCTATNCATCAACCATTAGTGCTCTGATTATCCCTACTGTTCACAGAGGACCATCAGCCTAACAGTGTTGAAGTGTTGGTATAATTGGTTATTTACTGACAGGTAAATATGACCTGTACAGGTAGATGTCTTCATATCCATATTATTTAAACTAATGTGCGTCACCATTTGCTTTAAACAAAATTTTTAAAGACATTTCTCTTCCAACCAGTTTATGTTTAAGTCCCCTGTGAAGACGACCTCCATATTTGAGTCACATTCTGTATCATTTCCCCAATATTTTCTAAAAGTCGGATGTTTGAGGATGGAGGTTTATAACAGCATCCTATTCTGATAGGTTTTATATGACGGACACTTATTTGATGCTATAAAACTTCTAGCTCCTTATCCATTACATCTTATGTTATTTTTATAGGAATATAACTTTGGATATAAAAAGCCACACACCCCTGTCTGTGTGTGTGTCAACAGAGGATCACCTGGCTCAGGTTCAGGTGTGTGAGTCCCTGGCTGAGTGCTACCTGAGGCAGAAGAAGCAAGATGCATCTGTTCAGCTCTACAAACAGGCTTTGAGTGTCCTCTCTCACTGCCAGGTAACACACCTGCGTGATAGAGTCAGAAGGTATTTGATCACATGACACAGTCAGGAAACAAGAAACATAATCTAACATACAATATTTATAAACTGAATCCAATTCAACCAATCAGCTCACATCATTTTGACCTATCTGTAATATTTGCTAGGAAGGTTGAACCCCAGGTGTAGAACTGAGTGGTAAAAAGGACCAGAAAGGTTACAATAAGACTATTTAACAAAATCAATGGGCTGGCATGGCAGCAGAAGGTCTATACAAGAATCCAGGATCGTAACAAGCAACTAACAAAGCACTGACACCGACTGAGGACAGAGAACAGAATATCAAGGCGAAATGAGCTAAAACAAGAAACACCTGGGACAGAAACATGAGGAACAGGTGYGAGTGGGCGGGGCTGGAGCAAACACAGGCAGGACGAGGGAAACAGAAAAAAAAGTAACCAAAAATCACTTAGACACAGACCGTGACACAATCACAGATGTTCTCGTCTTCAGGATGCTGAAGGTGTTCAGGATCGACTGGTGGAGCGGCTGACCCAAGCTCTGCAGCAGAGTGTGGCTGTGGCCCAGGTTAGAGCCAACATCACAACAACAAGACAACACAAAAACATCACAACCAATCAACAAGACAACACATAAAAACAAGACAACACATGACGACAACAAGACCAATCAAGATCAAGAATACATGGAAACATCATAATCAATCAATAACAACAAGACAACACATAACAACAAAACCAATTAACAAGAAGACAAAACCAATCAACACAATAACACCAATCAATAAGACAACACAACAACAAAACCAATCAACAACAAGACAACACAGGATAACACCAACAATCAACAAAAAGACAAAAACAAAACCAGTCAATAACAAGACAACACCAATCAATAACAAGACAACACATAACAACAAAACCAATGAATAACAACACATAACAAAACCAATCAACAAGAAGACAAAAACAAAACCAATCAACAAGACAACACAAAAACATCACAACCAATCAACAAGACAACATGGAAACTTTACAACCTATCAACAACAAGACAACATGAAAACATCACAACCAATTAACAAGACAACAAAATAAGATGACAACACTAATCAACAACAAGACAACACGAAAACATCACAACCAATCAACAAAACAACATGAAAATTTTACAAACAAACCTTTTCTTGTTTGGCATCATATCCATGCAACAGAATGCAATGTGTTAAAATCAAACATGTACAGTCCAGTTTCCTAAAATGCACAATGGGTGTACCACAAGGATCTGTGCTTGGAGCCCTGCTTTTTAGTCTTTACATCAATGACCTTCCAAAGTTTTTTCATGATGTAGAAGTCCAGTTATATGCAGACGACACTGTTTTGTACACACATGCTAAAACAACTCAACGTGCAGCTGAGAATTTAACCAAAGCTCTGGAGGGAGCAGTTGATTGGTTAAATCAATCCTGTCTGACTTTAATGTAAACAAAACAAAAAGTATGTTTTTCTCTAAGACTAAATTGGACACCTCAGATTTAAACATTTATATCAAGGGTAAACAAACTGATGCTGTGACTGAGTTTAAGTATCTTGGAGGTTTTTTTTTTTTTTGGATTCTAACCTCAGCTACAAGAAACATATTTAAAAAATAACACAAACTGTTAGATATTACTTGGTCAATTTTAGATATGTTCGATCTAGTACTGTATTGTTGGATGCTGTTTGGTTTTTATTATTTAAATTTAAAATTTTATTATTAGGAGGACTGCAGATGTAAATTAGCCTTAGATGAAATCTGGTGCAGTGCATCAAATGTTTTTGTATTTATGTTTTAATTACACATTGTCTTCATAAATAAAATAAAAAAAATCAACAAGAAGACAAGAAAAAAACATCACAACCAATCAACAACAAGACAAAAAAAATCAATAACAACAAGACAAAAAAAATCAATAACAAGGCAATAACAAGACATGATGGAGGTAGAACTGGACCTGGTCCAGAGTCTACATCAATAAACCTTCAAACAGATCATTTTTGTTGATTTTTATGAAACCTGATGCAGTCTTTATAATAAACATATCTGTGAACCCAGAGACCACGCCCACTTAGACTCCACCATCTGCAGCCCCACCCTCACAGCTCACCTGTGGGACGTCATGTCAGGTAAGAGACAGACAGCTCAGAGATCAGTCACATGTTCTGTCTTCATGTTTTGGGTCTATGTTCCAACAGAAAGAGTCTGGCTGCTGCAGCCAATCAGCATTCAGAGGAGCCAAGAGGGGAGGTTCCAGGTGAGTCTCACCTCTTACAGCCAAATCTGACACTTGTGTTGTCCTGATAACACCTAGTTGTCCTCATCAGTAGGGTTTACAGGTGAGGCTCTCTCAAAGAAACAGAAGCCATCACAACAGTGTTGGTCAGCAGGGGGCGGGGTTACTGAAAAATCTGACTGCATGAGCCTGACACCTGGACTTTGCAGGTAAGTTGCACAGATTTTTAAAACGTTATAAGAATTTATAAAGCCTCATCTGCAGACACAATCTCTGAGACACACAACCATTAACTGAAGTGTTTGTTGTGTTTCCAGTTCAGACCCACCAGATCAGCAGAACCACAGTTCCCTCACTCCTGATACACACCTGACACACAGGTGAGCAGCTGATACACACCTGATACACAACTGATACACAACTGATACATTTCTGATGCATTTCTGATACACAACTGATACACAACTGATACACAACTGATACATTTCTGACGCATTTCTGATACACAATTGATACACAACTGATACATTTCTGATACACAACTGATACACAACTGATATACAACTGATACACAACTGATATACAACTGATACATTTCTGACACATTTCTGATACACAACTGATACACACCTGACACACAGGTGAGCAGCTGATACACACCTGATACACAACTGATACATTTCTGACGCATTTCTGATACACAATTGATACACAACTGATACATTTCTGATACACAACTGATACACACCTGACACACAGGTGAGCAGCTGATACACACCTGATACATTTCTGAAGCATTTCTGATACACAACTGATACACAACTGATACATTTCTGATACACAACTGATACACAACTGATACATTTCTGACACAACTGATACACAACTGATACATTTCTGACACACAACTGATACATTTCTGATACACAACTGATACACAACTGATACATTTCTGATACACAACTGATACACAACTGATACATTTCTGATAAACAACTGATACATTTCTGATACACAACTGATACATTTCTGATACACAACTGATACATTTCTGGTACACAACTGATACACAACTGATACATTTCTGACACACAACTGATACATTTCTGATACACAACTGATACACACCTGACACACAGGAGAGCAGCTGATACACACCTGATACATTTATGACACACAACTGATACATTTCTGATACACAACTGATACACAACTGATACACAACTGATACATTTCTGATACACAACTGATACATTTCTGATACATAACTGATACATTTCTGATACACAACTGATACACAACTGATACACAACTGATACATTTCTGATACACAACTGATACACACCTGATACATTTCTGATACACAACTGATACATTTCTGATACACAACTGATACATTCTGGTACACAACTGATACACACCTGATACATTTCTGATACACACCTGAGACATTTCTGATACACACCTGATACATTTCTGATACACAACTGATACATTTCTGATACAAACCTGATACATTTCTGATACATTTCTGATACACAACTGATACACAACTGATACATTTCTGATACACAACTGATACACAACTGATACACAACTGATACACAACTGACACATTTCTGATACACACCTGATACACAACTGATACACACCTGCTATACATCTAGTGAGCAGCTGGTACACACCTGCTGTAGCAGGTGAATTCAGCAGAATCCAAGTCTTTAATACATGACAGGTGGTGTTTGTGAGGACATACCTGAGTGTGTTTCCAGGTGAACTGTGGTTGGACAGTTATAATAATACAGGTATAAACATTCTAATAAATGTTTATTTTTGTCTTGCCTTTTCCCAGTGAGGATTCACCAGCTCAGCAGATTGAAGCCCCGCCCACCAGCACAGGTGACATCAAGAAAGATTCATCTCCTCAGTCCAGATGGAAGTCCTTGTTCTGTTCACTGATGTAGGACTTTGTCTTCTGAAAAGACTGAAGTCATTATTGATTCAATTTATTGTCCAATGGCAGATCAGCTGGTTTCCATTGAAACGTCCCCATCAGGCAGAAAGCTGGGTTTCAATTGGAATGCCTCTCACTAACAAACTGTAATGTATCTAAAGGGTCTTTGTTCGTGTGAATGTTGAATGTCTGAATTGCTGTGTTGACTTTACTTTACAAAGATGAGGAGTTTCTATATAGCACCTTATCAAGTCCTTACAGACTCCAACCTAACTAACTAGATATAGTGGACTGACCTCTACTCACAGCCTGGGCCCCAGAACCAATCTCCTCGACTGTGCCCAGAAATTATTTACATGGTGAAATGCACTGAGCTGGTGTGGTCTACTTTTGGTCCCCGATGAAGTGCCTTTGTGTTGGAGTTTTGATGTGATTGAAAGAACCGGTGTCTTTGATCTGAACCTCAGCGGTGTTCTGTTGTTGGACTTCTGTGCTAGTCACAGTTTGTCCATCACAAACACCAGGATCAAGCATAAAGGTGTCCATAAGCGCACTGATCACCACCGTGTAGTGAGTTGGATCAGATGACAGAGGAAGATGGCGGAAAGACCCAGTAGACCTGTGTCTGTCTTCATATTCTGTGGTGGACACCCCGGATAAGGGAGGCTGTCCATCTGGATGAGTCCTATCTGGCCTTGTTGTCTTGTAGGACTCTGGAGGCAACTGAGGAGTATCGGCCGAGGTAAAAGCTCATGTGGGAGGGGTTTGGTGAGGCCCTGGATAAAGACTTTCGATCAGCTCTGAGGAGATTTTTACAAACCATCCAGCAGCTGAGGTGGGGGCGGCAGCACTTCACTAACACTGAAGCTGGGGTGCTGTTGACCTCAACCAGCGATGTCGTCGGGAGGTGGAAGGAGTACTTCTCAGACCTTCTAATCGCACCGGCATGTCTTCCATAGAGGAAGATGAGACAGGGATTTTGGGGTTTCTTTGTCCAAAAGTGGGGCTGAGGTCATGGAGGTAATTAAAACGCTCCACAGGTTGTAGGGAAGTCCTGGTTGACATCTTTGTTACATGGTGTGGACATCGGGGGCAGTTCCCCTGGATTGGTAGACTGGGGTGTTCGTCCTCCTTTTTAAAAAGGGTGACCGGAGGGTTTGCTCCAATTACAGGGGGTTCTGGAGAAGAGAGTCCAACCGATTGTCAAACCTCAGATTCTGGAGGAACACTGCAGGTTCCGTCCTGGCTGTGGAACACTGGACCAACTCTTTACCC